TTAATTAACCAGCGATAAACTATACGTATAACGAACCCAAAAGGACCACTAATTTTAGATCGTAATAACCGTAGTTAATTTTACGAATTTAGATTAAAAATACAGCAAAAGTCCAGGATAAAAATATCCTCAAAACAGTTCGTTATATCTGACAGTTCGTTATAAACCTAGTATAGTGTATCTGAAGTGAATATGAATCGGGTGTTCCTTAACTTGTGTTGAATAGTGTGGGTTAATAACGTGAATACCAGCCGCACGGCCCACAGATGTTATAAGTCGAGGTTAACAAGCGCTCCGTTAGTGTAGTATTTATGTGTTCCAACAACATGTTTGCTTCATGGTTCCGGATACAGCATGTCTCCCAATGCCCCACAATCCAGTGATCAACAGCATGAACATTGATCTACGCAACTGCCATTGGATACGATGACATGTGTCAACCAGGTCAGCGAGCCTGGCCACCCAACCCTGTTAATCACCTCTTACGACAAGTATGGGTTACTGAAGACCAAGTCTAACCCGGATCTATACGGGTGTTGAATTGTGGACTTGTACTTGACTGATGTGTAGTAACCTGTTCGTGATATCAGCCACTCGTTTCAGTTATCCAGACTCGAATATGTGTAACTTCGACGTTGAGCCAAAAAAACAACACGTTTAACTGAGGCCAAATACGTTTTCTCATCAATCGGAGGTGACTATAATTCTTGATCATTATAAATACTCTTCAGCTGAAACCTTTTACACACAGACCTTTGTTTGATATAGGGAATGTTCTGATTTTCTATGTTTTAAATTATTTAAGGACATACGTTGATAATAGCAAATATGAGTTGCAACATCAAACGTTTTGTTGACTGATAACTTTCAAGTATTCTCTCATACAGACCCTGACACAAGCTAATCCCCAAAACTCCAAAACAGGTCTACAATTCTTTTGCAAGTCTACACCTCTTCATCTGTTAATAGAGATATTATTTTGGTGATTCCCTGTTAGATATTAAAAGAATTTCCAAAATAAAAGAAGTATTCAGAGACTTACTTAAAGCACATCTAACTTAAAAAGGAACATGTATTTTTAATTGATAACAGTCTGAAATAAAATAAATAAAACACGGTTTTCATGACCTGCATGCTTGAAATCATGACGGACACAGTCACTGGGCGCTTACAGGCCCAGCAAGTAATCCTGATAAGTGTAACAGGGGCACAGTTCGTATCCCGACCCCTGCTGTGACGGCAGTCCGCTATGTCACGCCACTCTAATTACGTGCTTGGGTCACGCGCTGGGTCACAGGAACATCGTGATGATAAATGATGCCACGAGTGACCAACGACTTGTGATTGGCGAAAGTTCCCGATCCAGTATAGAAGGGTTCATGGGTCATGTATATGACTGTGAGATACAATGCCTTTTAATATTATAAATGTGAACGCAAGTCAATTTCAGGAAGGTTTAAAAAATATCATTCTCAGCTCCTTGGGGAGAGTATAAGTATGAGTGTCATGTAAAACACCGCCTGTAATCGTGTGTAATATAGGCGAAGTTGGCGATGTTCTGGGCATAGTTGTGAATCTGTTAAAAAACACACGATTCCATCGAATTTGTAAATACGAATCAAATATCATGATAAACACGAAGTTAAATTATATATCTAAACAGGTTGAAGAAAACCCACAAGTAATACGTTGCTTGTTGCAATACGCACTAGCCTAGACAAATTAACTTGCCATTGGGAAAGAATCGTGTTTTCATTTCTGTTGGGGACAGTATGTATAGAGAATCGCACATGAGCGTCTATATATAGCGTGGTGACCGATGATGTCACAATGGCCTGAAAGCATTGTGATGCAATTTCGCTGTAACCATATCTACTGGAGATAAGCCCTCACACAAGCGATATCTCCCGTGGAAGCTATTTCTGGATGATAATTCAAATACTTATCTCGGCTATAAATGCTATTTGCTTTTCAAACAAACTTCTTGAACAAAAATTATTAATACACTTTTTCATCACATTATTGTAGTACAGATAGACTCTAGTCGAGTCAAACAATGTAAGTTTAAGAATGTGCTACATTGACTTCATTCATCTCCCTATGTATATGGTCTAAATCTCTTTACAAAGTATATCGTAATACCAAACAACAAAGTTCCAACTTCGGTGACACACCAGAGCAGAAAGAGTGCATATTAGCTTTGTTGTATAGAATGCTAAGCCCTTCGATGTATAGTAATTCTGTCTGGAACAGTGACTTCTATCGTGACATCTTGTTACTTTTAATTTTATAAGTTGGAAATTATCATTTAAATTATAACTATTGCCTTAGAGTCTTGAGCTTAAGTGCCCGTTTACAATTGTAAATACCTTATATCAAATACAGATATCGATAAGTGTACATATATGTCAAAAGCTTCTTTGAAAGTGAATCTTAAGCACATACTCTTGTCGGAATCGTACAACGTGCTGTTATTTTAGTATAATGTTTTTATTAGATCGGAAATGGTTTCGCTTTAAATTCTAACCAATCCCAAATTTTACTTTTGCTTAGCGAAATATATTGCCTCTAATTTTGATAAACGAAAGCCATTTACACAATTATCGAACACAGCCATACAGGCAGTGGCTGAATTCACTATACATGCAGTGTGCGAAATAGTTTCCAATTTGTCCTTGCCAGTCGGGCAAGCTATGCGTGTAAGTTACTAGCCCATAAAATATTTCAATAGCCCGAAATTTGAATGTAGAAACTAAGCAAAAGATTTAAAAAATAGATGAGAATAAGATATTGTCGGCATGACACGGGTTTCATCATTAAGCTGCTAATATAATGAGCATTTTTATCAGGCCATAATCTTGCATGATTTAAAATTGTATTAAAACTATAACAAGTCGGAAATAGTGACATATTTACAAAATGACCCCATGAAAATGCACTAGCCAGTCGGGCCAGTGACTGTGGAGAATTACTGGTCCGACTGGATTTTTACTAGCCACGGGCTAACGGGCCAGTCGATATTTCGCACACTGTATACATGTCTTCTGCATGGTGTCCGGTACTGAAAATGCCCATCAATATGCAGTTACCGGCATAGATGAACAAGGTCTACCATGTCCATACTCACATCAACGGGTTCCATTCTACCCAGAAATCAATAGTCCCACGCCAAACTATTCACTGATTCATGACTTACGTGGGCGTCAATCTCGTCCACAAATGGATCCAATGACGAATTAGGTCTGGGGCAATTTCCATTTCGGACGTTGCGAATCCTTGAGAGACATGGATCGTAAACAACTTGCGTCTCCTCAATCTACCTCCCACAAGGAGTTATTTTCAGAGTTAAGGAACGAGATTAGCTACTGAGGAAAATGACAGGGTTCCAGTTAGTCTGAAAATGTACGTCAAAATCCCGTTTGTTTTATGTCGACATGTTGATGTTTTCAAGAGAAAGTTTTTCTTTTAGATTTGTGATTTTGGTTTGTGATGGAAAATCGTTTCTGCAGCAGTTACGTGTTTCAAACACTAAATTATCTGCTGCTGGGCTGATGTACCGTATTCCAAGCATTTGTTTACATCGTAATGTTAAAAAAAGTGCGCCTTTGTTTAGAAATCTGTACTGAACGCACCACACTCAGCATCAAATCTGAATTGTGCACATCATTTAAAGATTTTTTTCTTGAATAGATAACGCTCCTCTTTGGGGTTTGAAATAATTACACCGTTGTTCTCTTAATTAGCCTCCTTATTGTGCAAATAACTCACTGTTGATTAATTAGCACTATTTGTCAAATGGAGACCTCTTAAAGTTTTCAGCTTTGACACTTGACAGATGTCAGATATTGTCTACTGCAGTCGCAAATGAATACCTAGTAACAGTTTGCCAGATGTACATACAACTTCGAGATGTTTTCTTTTCAAGATAAGTGTTTGTTTCAAATGCATTTAACCCATTGGATATGAGAGATTGCCGATAAAGCTGGTGATATATTCAGAAATTTGTGTCATGCCATTCCAAATTCTTGGCTATGTGTAAGACATGACCAATGAAATTTTAGAGGGTTTATCTTTCAACATCTTGGTTAGGTCCGAAATCATCTGAACTTATGATAATAAGGGATACACCACAACTCTAATAACATTTCAGTTCAGCGATATTCCTTCACGTCCATCGGCTTTCTCTCAGCAATATGGCTAACATTCCATAGTCTATGCTGTTGTCCTTTCCATTATCAAGCAAATGACTACAACTACAAATACTTTCCATATGCACTAAACATCTTCTTTCATACTACGCAGGAGTATTGCCAGTGTCGAGTCAGTCAGGTGATGACCAAATACAGAACTACTGTTGTACTCCGCGCATATCAGCTCGTACTGCGAAAACAGCACCTGCTTATCCTGAGCGGGGAGAGCTGGGAACACTAAATTGCTTTTGTTGCTGTTTTGGCGCAAGTCGCCCAACAGCTGTTCCCGCTAACGTTTCAAAATAACATTTCGCGAAACAAACCTGCGGTGCTATATCGGGCGAGGTAAAAGTTCTAGGTCACAAGTGTTTGTGTTACTGATGCCGCCATAAGCTCTAAGGATTCATTAAAACAAATTTCATAAAAGAATTTGTTTTCTCCCCCCCCACCCCCCTCCATGTTAAAGTAGCACAGCAGTTTGAGTCGTGAAATGAAAGAAACACATCAAATGGATGATCTAGTCGAGACTGTGTCACATACTGTGTTGTAAATTAAAATGTGTACATAGTTCCAATGTATCTGATAGACCATCCATTTGATAAATACAAGAAGTCTGTACTCCCGGCATGTTATGCCTATTATCCGTATCGCGCCGTTGTTGGGTAAACTCCATGTTGGGTAAATTGTCTTAAATTTACCAATTACTCCAGGTAAATATCCAACAGGACCATGGGTGTAGACATTAATAGTTCTACACTCATGGTCTAAAGGGAATGTTATTCCATCTGATTAAGAACATAAATCCTCAAATATGCATCATAAATAGTTGAGATTTATTCCACTTGCTTCTTTGTTTTTTCTCATTTTATGAAAAACGATACATCTGCACATAGTACAGACATGTTTTGTACAATGTATGAGTACATGTACAGATGATTGCTTTACAACAAATTTACATCCACATACTTTGGTCGGGCATGTTTTGGAGATCAGGATGCGAGTTGGAATAAAACAATGAAAGACAATAACCCGTTCTTCGAACAGGAACTTTCTCAATCACAACTATACATAGAGACTCAATCATCCTGACCTTACCATACATACATTTTCGACCCACTCACTCAGATCTTGGGAATTCATACTCAAGAAAAAAATGAAGGAACAAAAATCACTGTAGAATTACGATTAAATTACATAGGATTCCATAATTGAGTTAAAATCCATCATCACTAGATTGGCTGTTGGTCCAGCATCACATTCACGGATTAAATACCTTGATTTTATCACTGCCAGTCTAGCACATACATTCATCTAGCACTACATTCAGAATTCACTACGGCCATTTTTCAAAACAGTTCACTGAAAAATAGAATGAATACTGAACTATGTTCCTGAATTCAAAGTCCATTGTACGAGATGGTGGTCGTGGTCCAGAGATATTTACAGATGATCCGATGAAATCTTTGGCTAGGATTCGTGAGCCGACCCGAGTCATGGGACAGAATCTGTTAAACATATGCTGCCAGTTGCTTCAAACTGTCCCTGGACACATTAATGGGCAAGACATTCATAAGCTGGTCTTTACACGAATACCCAATCGTATTGAATTCGAGATCAGCTTGTAGACTTGGAGAGGAGTGTTGTTGTTGTTGTTGTTGCTGCTGCTGCTGCTGTTGTTGTTGCTGCTGCTGCTTAGCTTCAGCTAACTCCTGCTGACGCTGAGACTGCTTTTCCTTGTGTTTCTGGCTAATAACATGAGGCAAGTCACTTTCATACAACATCCCAATGCTGCCGTTTTCACCAAAGCGGTAGGAAACCTCCCTGGGATCAACCCACATTGTGAGTTCGCTTGGAAAGAGGGTATGAACATTTTCCTCGTTCATTCCACAGTCCACTGCTGCCTGTTTTACAATAGGGTCCATCTTGTGATTAATTCTGATACACCTGTAGCCACTCCCTTTGAAGGGCTTTTCGGGGAACCAGTGATTTTGATAGTGGTTGCACAGAAGATTTTGCAGATGGGTGCGAAAAGAGTCAATTCTATCCGCAGGCACATTTCGAGATCTCAACAGATTGGAGAGAAAATCCGTGGCACTTCTAATTTCGTTCTTCATAATTCAAAAGCCTGTTGCATACAGGTATAGTCTAAATGTGAAATGCCAAACGACAGGTAAACACTCACTCCAAAATGGCTGCTGACGCTCCCTCGAAAACAAAGCCGGTCAACCTTCGTGGTGAAAGTTCTTGAGCTGGAAAAGTCTCACAGGCTACTGAACTAACTAGTCCGTTTCCTTTCACAAGTTTCAATACCTCTGTCCAGATCTTAACGCTCTGCGGAGCCACTTCTCTCTCTCCGGCACTAAAATATTTCCTACCTCGCTCTTTCTCTTTGACTCAACTACTGCGGCTATGGCGTCTTTTCTCGAGTATTTGATGCAGCTGACTCAAGCCTACGTCATAACACCGTGCGTGTCACATGACCTGCCTCGTCCAATGGCTGGCGTTGGACCTAGGGCACGACTCCCATATTTGGAATATCTAAAATTAGATGTGATGTGTAAATAAATGCGTCCTTCACAATAACAACAACCCGTCGGTCAAGTCCTTTGATTATCTGTAGCCCTGCCCCGTTTGACATGCGCACTGCGAACGCCTTATAGAGAGGTTGCTGAGGCGTGCTGTTATTGTCAGCCTTTTACTATTGAGCCACGGAGTGACAGACACGCTTCGCGAGACAGCCAGAAGTCTTCGTCAAGATGTCAAAGGTTATGCGATAGTAAACGTTGTGAAATATCGGTCACACGCTCGAGAGCATAAAACGCTTACAACATATTTCACTGTATTACATGATATATATGTCTTCATCTATTTCTTTCACAAACACCTGTATTTTACAGCTGGGTCGATGATATTACTCGACAGTCACAACAAAATTGTTGTAGCATATGGCCGCTATAGATCTGTAACCTACTTTCGTGCTTCTATATTTACGTCATGAATGTACTTCAAGCAACACTCGCCGGTTAACCGCTATGCAATACACCGAACTCAGCGAGATCTAATCTTCTAGAACTCGCTACACAGATCTACACAGTAATAAGTGTCAGGTCTGCGAAATATGACGTTACATGTGTGAAATATTTGCTTTTTTCAAAAGGGTGAATTTGTATGTTTAATTTTCTGATCTTGAAACGAACTTAGGAATTTGATTTTGGTGGAAACTGTACCAAATGTTGACAAACACAAAGGAAGATGTACGCTTTTTAAATGAATCAAATTAACGCTATCTAAACCGAAAAAGGAGAACATTTTGTAGAATACATGCATGTTTTCAGCTATAATGTTGTCTAGGTGTGGGTGGGGTGGGGGGTTGTAGCCTAGTGGTTAAAGCGTTCACTCGTCACGCTTCTGGTGTGACGGCCATGTGAATAAAATATGAATGTGTTGAATTGATACATTACGGAGTGCCTTTCTACCCCTGAAGCAAACGTGAGATTATTTTTGGATTTTTTGTTATTTGACGAAGGAACAGGAAACAGTTGAAGTGCCTGGAGCCTGAAGGGTAATCCTTCAATACAACATGCCAAACCTGTGTTTACAACATCTCTTTTTTTGGCAATTGCTGTTCAGGTACACCACTGTCTTTGGCAATAGCAGTGTTCCTTCTGCCAAACGAGAGGAGAATGTTTGTTGACAACGCCCGGAGTAATTACTCTTTGTTCAAACAAAGACATCCAAAGCATAATGTCTCGGCAAGTCACTACTGTTTTTTAAATTGGTAATTTTTACATTGTATAGTGGTCAATGTTCTGATCATAATTAATTCTCTCTTCACTTTATTTGTGTGACGTTCACCGGTCAAGGTCGACCGGGGACGTGTTTTCGCTGACATGCAAGAAATCCCCTTTTAATGAGGGCTGAGTGAGACAAAGGAAGGATTGTTTTTCTATACCGAATGCGTGACACCATCCCCTGTCGATTGTTATTATAATGGCTGCCAGCATCAAAGATTGCATCTTTAGTCATAAAGGATATACCCCTCTATTCACTTATTTTCCTTTGTCCGAAAAGCTGTCATTTATGCCATCGCTCAGGCGTGATGCTTGAAACGCTTGGGTTTAGAGACAAATTAGTATATGTCCCCCCTTCCATCAGCATCCCCGGAGAGTCTCAGCGCAACACAACACCAAAACCCCCACCCCAGATTTTTTCTTCTTACTATACACCTCTTTTTTCTCTAAAGCCAGCAGTGCACTACCACATGCGTCATAATGTATATGAACGTCCTGTATACAAGGATATAGTCGGCGGTAGTCAGATTGTAGATTTGGTTGGTTTCACTTTTTAACTGAGTCATTATATATAAATGAAATTAAAAATAAACACAGCTGACCTCCGAGTGACATGACCAGAAGATTATAAACACCCCCCACCCCTTCTCCTCTCTCTCTCTCCCCCCACACTCACACCAGTGTGACATGGCCCTGTGAATTAGTTTTACAGTAATTATCTGGGAAAATGATATGAAGACGTGTCGGAGTTGAATCTTGGGAGCAGGAGCTGAAAATCCCCCGTCCTTCCCCATTCAGCGTCGTCGTCGGGCAAGTTCTCACACCGGTGTCTACACCAGCCATCTGTCGTTCCTGGAGGGGTCGAGGGTGACGGATAATGGGATGCGATAGAGCGGAGGGGATGACAGTTAATGCGAAAAAAACCTGCTTGTGAAAATACGTGAATATTATAATGTTCTATATATGACTTAGACTACAGGATTAGGAAGAAAATATTTTTTGGAGTTCCAATAGAGGGATTTGTGTATCGTAATGGCGATGATAATACAAACTAAATGTGCCCACATATGCTGTCACAAACATTTTAATACAATATTTAACAAACAAAAAAAACGGAAAACACCCCAAACACGGGTGACATTAAATTGATACATTTTACCATATAATTTTACACAAGCTCAAATTTGTTTTTAGGATTACTCGCAAACAAAAGCAATCTTTCATTTGTTTCTTTGTGCGATGTGTTTAAGACGACAGGCCGGCTGCACATATTAATACAGAATAATTGTCAGGAGGGAAATAAAAGGATAACGACACATTTCCATATCAATAAACACAACACTGGTCGGAATATCAAAGGGCGCACTCCCGATTGACTGGAGCCTGCATCCCCATACAGGGGACACGTCAATTGTGTAGCAAGGCGTGATAAATGGGGGCATCTGGCAAGAACTGCACCTGCTCTCTATCAAATATAACTCACCTGTAATTAATTTGGCTGAGGTTCTTTGAGGTGGGCGACACGGATGCTTAGACAATTCTGTTTCGAACCTATTAGTTCTTGTCTATCAGTGTACGACATATGGGATAGTTTCATTGTACTTCGCTGAAATGTATCTTTAAAGATATATTCTCGGGTACTTGGTAAATAACTTATATATTGTACACTGCATGCGTGTTTGTCAATATCATCGGTATCGCTGTTTACAGAGTCATGCATGCAGGGTTAACCTTGCTCCAAGGCTGTACTGAAGGCTAAGTCCCTGGATGTATAGTAATTGTATCCTTTAAAGAGGCAAGTCTAGATAAGCGGATAGGTTTTTTAGAAATCAAAATTTAAACTATTAATTATTACCTTGTGCAAGTCTAAGTCAGGGCCTTCGTAAATAATTGTACCAAAAGGCCAAAAAAATATATCCATGAAAAGAACTTGACCTCTGTATCCGATTCCTGAAGGAATTACTTCTGACAATCAGTGATTTGTTTTATGTAATAAAGTGATTTTTCCTCCATCAGTCTGATACAGATATAGACTTATCATCTTTCTTAAAAAACCTGGGTCGGTGGGGTAGCCTAGTGGTTAAAGCGTTCGCTCCTCAAGCCGAAGGCCCGGGTTCGATTCCACACATGGGTAGAATGTGTGGAGACCATTTCTGGTGTCACCCGCCGTGATATTGCTGGAATATTGCTAAAAGCAGCGTAAAACTCAACTCACTCATTCTAAAAAAAACCTTGAACGATAGTCGGTAATATTGCTACCCAGAGAGTTCAGATATCCTCACAGTTCTGAAGAAAAGACAATGTGCTTCTGACCATGCAACAATCTTGCTTAACATGTTATCTTCGTACAGATCAAACTATTACACAGTAATAGCTCCTTATATAATTACAACACTTATCACTATTTGAAAAGGTACTTGCAGTTATCGACACTAACTTCACCCATGTCCATGGCAACATTTGTACTACTTCCCTACTCTAGATTACATGATAATATTGAAACGACTGCCTGGGAACATTGCGCTGTTGTGTTAAACTTGGTTATTACAAATTCCCAGTGAAGTCGCAACAGGTGACGTCTCTAGGTAGTCGTTGACCACTCTTATCGTAGTATCACATGGCCGTGTCGCGGTAAGAGATCTGTCACTCAGCTTTCATACAATGTGCACATTGTTTGCGGGGACAGATTACAACTGATTTCACAATCTCAGAGCAGGTAAACTGCGTCCTGTGGATTAATTTACTTGAAAAGAAAGCGTTTGAAATACTTTACCAGAACTGGGAGCTATGTCGTTGTTATATTTTCAATCATGGTTTTGTCTTTTCATAAATTCTGATTATAATGATAACCTTACATACACATTAGATTAACATTTTTAGTGATTTATATTGTTTATTGTATATATTTTAAAATAAGATATCGATAACATTACTTTGATATTTATAAGACATATTCTATTGAAACCTGTTATTATATATTGTTTGTTCAATTTTTAGTATACTCATGCCAATAATGGTTGTCACCCCCTTCAATTGTTTTAATTGGAGAGGGGGTGTGGGGTGTGAGGTGGGGTTGGGGTGGGGAGGGGGGTGACAACCATTATTGTCATGAGTATATTTTCATAGAATTTTTCAGTAACGTCGATATTTCCTTGATATTTCGTGTACATAACATTCACTTGAATCCGACATTAACATTTAAGTAACGTTATATTCGGTGAATAAGTAAGTCGGTGCCTACATTATTCGATCGATAATTACAGCGAGTTATGTTTCCAGTCAGGCGTCTTGGAGTAAATCACGTGTAGTTTCTGGCATGTGCTCGGTAATTTGATTGCTCCTGTGTCTTGTCGGAAAACGACGTAAAGAAAAAGTCTTGTGTCTCGAACAATGCAGGTAATTGTTATTGATTTGATATAACGATGTCATGATCATCTCAAGAAAGACGTACAACGGATATGACTCACTGTCCTACTCCGTTCCGAGATTAACCAGACTGGGCGAAGGGAGGTAACTCGGACTCTGATTTCTATGTGCAGTTTCGATGCACCTTACAATGTCATGTTATAGATCACTACTTTGGATTGAGTACTGCGGCAGAGACATAGAATAGACATATAAAATATT